ACTAGCTATGTTGGAGCATTTAAAGCGGAGGCACCCCCTTGTCTCTCGTGAAGGGAAGAATGATAAGTAAGTACTAACTTTGGCTAAATTAATTCCACGTTTGTGTAGTGTGTTGTGCAGCTTGAGTTCTGTGCACTTCGGTAGTGCTAACTATCTCCGTGCGGTTTGTTCGTGCTTGGTTGGTTAGTAGTTAATGTTAGCTACCTAGCTAGCGGCGCCAGCTGTGTGTTAGTTAACGTTTGTCAGCATTTAATGTTGGCTGGAATGGTAGCTAGTTTACGTCTGCAGTACACCGCTATCTAGCCACTACTAACCCGGAACGAACTAACTGCACAGAGAGCTAACTCATGTTGTGGTCCTTTACGAGTCAAACATAACATTAGACTAACGTTAGTCAGCTTATGGCGCGTTTCCACTGCAGCGGGTAGCTCGCTTTAAGCGTGCCGAGCCGTGCGGGGCCCGTTTTTGGCTGCGCTTCCACTTGGCCTAGTTTTGGCCCGGGGCTACTTTTTCACCTTTTTTTCTGGCCCGACTAAATCGTGGTTCTAGGGCCAGGAACAACCAGGCTGAGTCGGGCTGAGTATGCTAAACTAGAGAGAAAATCGCTGGCAAGGGGGCTACAACTACAACAAGATGAACATATTTGACCGTGATTTAATTGTAATACACGTTTCAAAATGATACCGAAGTAACAACATACTGATACCGGTTAGTAACAACCATGAATTAATGCTTTGACAAGTCTGCAGACAGACGGCAGGCGAAAAACCCTTTTTAAAATGCGTGTTTTCTAAATGTAGCTTGGCTAAGCTAACGTTATATACGCTCCGACCGTCCACACTCACAACAACGGCCTATACAGATATAAACAAACCAGCGACTGTATTCGCCATGACACAGGCAGTTTGTGGTTTGTACTTGTTTAACTTTTGTCTAGTTTCTGAACAGATATGAGGAGCTGTGAGCTCTGAGTGCTAACAGCTAATGGCTGTGTTTTTTTTTTTGTGAGAATTTGTTGGTATTTATTTGAGATACATTACGTTTTTTATGAATCGAACAACAGAAAAATAATCGTTAGATTAGTTGACTAATCGATAAAATAATCGCCCGATTAATCGTTTTCAAAATAATCGTTTCCCCCCAGCACTAATGATAAGGCATATTGGGGTACAGTAAAATGTCTTATATAAATTGTCCTCTGGTGTCTAAAAGACTATGGAGACATGACTTCTGTCCATGACCCGTGGACTGAATAGAGCATGGAATTTATTTTGTTCTCTCAAACTTTTTGTTGTCAAGATACTTCCATATATTGATAGTGCAGTTACACACAGTAAGTAATCTGTAGACATGCTCTATCAATCATCTACATTTGTTCAAAGGATTATGTGAGTGGTTGGCTTCTCATTTCTCACAGAGAAAGGGATTGGCCTTCTGCTCTCTGATGGGTTAGGATACACCTGGTTCATTATTGTTACCCTTTTGCACAGGTATAACTGCATCTGTCTATGAGCTTCTTTTAGACGTTTAAGAGCTTCTTAAACAAGTTTGATCTTCCTAGGTCTCAATTGTTTCGTATTTTACTCATTGGTAACTTATCGGCTTTTGACCCAAAGCAAATAAACCTCTTGGGAGTAAGAATTAGAACGTTGTTATCAAATGAGCAATGGCAGCATATTTTATATATCTAGGACACTCTTCCTCAGACTGTGCTACGAATGGCCTCCTCCAATGTAAGATGGTCAATTACACCAATGCACTTATGCTGCGGATGTATCCTAGTTTAACAGACTTGAGTAATCTCCAGCCGATCACACTCAAATGTTCTGGTCCTTTGCCAAGATTTGAAATATTCAACACATTTAAAAGTCAACAGGTCCCACCTTCACCACCTTAACAGCAAGGCGACCTGTTCTTCATAAGATTAAGCAGGTCTTTCTTGTAGCTCATGGTCCACTGACTCAGTCATTTGTCATGAAGTGTAGCGAGCGGAGATCCCCGTCTCTCTGCTCCGGTTAATGAAAGGTGAGCAGGAGCGAGTCTCTGAGAGGAGAGAGCCCATCCATCATCTGGAAGAGTTTAGTGTGGAGTAGCAGGAGAGTTCGGCGGGGCCCAGGGAGCGCTTGTCTTCGGCCTACTGCTTGGCCAGAGGGATGTGTTTGCTTTAACCCGTACAAACAGTGAGGAGAAGAGAGACTGGGCCTGCTCCTCTCAGTCCCTCCGTGGGACTGTCCTCCTCCTTCAGTCAAACACACACTCATATTCCCTCACATGCTCTGAATCCTCTCCGTAGGGAGTGTGTTCTCACTAAAATAAACACAAGGTCTTCTCTGAGTCATACGGTGAGGGTAGGATCAAGCATGTTGCATGCTTCCTCTTTTAAAAGGCCTAAAGCAGAACCAACCAATCACAGGCTTGATATGTGGCTTAGGTGTACAAGTACACAAGGCTTTGCGAAATGAAGAAAATCATACATCCAAATATTTCTGACTGAATACCCCAATTTGGATGTTGTGGTGATATTTTTTTGTACGAGACAACTGTGTCACAGTACATGGTTAAAGCAGGAAGTGGGTCTGTAAACGGAGGTGGATGTTTCCAACAGACAGACAGCTCATCTTTGTTGTTTATTTGAGATAACCAACCTGTTGGAATAGAAGCCTAAATCAAGAATATAAGAGTGGTGCAGTGCAGATGTATATTTGTAGTCCGAACCAGAAGTTAGAATCACAGGGCTCCCTAAACCAAAAGCATTGGATTTCGGGAATATTGCAGAAAATAAGCTCTGTGGCAAACGCACTATTATGATACTTACACATTTTGTTTAGCATAATCTCCACATATCAATACCACTTTTATGATTTTTTAAACGTAAATGCAATAACCAGAAGTAAAAAGCTAAGCTAAAGGCGGCTAATATGGACATGGTGACATTTAGAAGTCTCATTTAGTGCTTACCACTAAGATATTACTGACATATTTAATGTCGTATAACTAAACATGAACATCTCTTAGCTTGTGTTAACCACAGACCTTATTTCAGGCAGCTAACCATCAACTACAGGGACCCGGAAGTTGCAAAATGCTAACTCATTCGGTTTTAGGACTCTTTTTAGAGGGTATTTTAGGGACTATTGTGTCATTGTTTATATAACATTTGTCGAGTGCAGCTTGAAATGTTTAAAACAGCCCGTGCTCAGCGTCACACATTAGTAAGAGAGTGTTGTGCTCAGACCCAGAGAGATGGTGGCCTCGGCGTCCCCCCCGTCAGCTGGAGCAGCACCTCAGGGACTGGATCCACCTGCCTGATTGGACCAGAACCTTAGAAGTTACCCGTTGTTAATATCACAGTGAATTGTGTGGACATCTCGTCCCCCTCCCCCCCACCGGCCCTCTCCCTGCTCTCAGAGAAGGTGTCTGCAGAACATCACTGACTGTGCAAGTGTCACAGTGCGCTCACACCGCCATACATCATGTAGGCTGTGTGAGAAACTAGCTCCTTTTCTTCCTCTGAAAGCTCCACATGTCCACATCCTCCTCTGCACACTTTAACTCAGGATTACACCACGATTCATAAGCAGGGTCCTGCAGCAAACAGCAGTGACTAACAAATGGCTTTCAAGACAAGAAATGGACCAACTTTCTGTCAAATTTCCATCGAGAGGCCCTGAGAATGACCTGAGTTAATATGTGGGCGTCAAGAGAATGTGTCCTTTTTTAGTGAGTAGAAATGATTAACAATATGAACATTGATGCTGTGGCTCCCTCGTCTGTAATACCAGGGAATTGTTTCTTTTAGCCTGAGGTAATAGAGCGGAAAAACTTTGTTGCATTGTCCAGAAAAATATTGAGTACTATTATGGTGTTTCTATGTATAAAACCCACTTATTCTACGGCTTGGAACAACTCCAGAAGACATTTAAAAAATATAATCTTACTTTAAATTCAAGTTCAAATAATAACAATTTTTAAGGGATTAGTCTCAATGGAAGGATCTTGTAAAATAATGATATGGAATGGTAAAAAATACACGAGATTAAGAAATCAAGTTCATATCTTTGACGATAATTGGGAAAAATGGTTGAGGTATACACCAATATACAACACAACACAAAACTAATGACCCTCTAGTTAGATGTGACAAGAAATGTAATGTTATGATTTATCCGTTTTCTTTTTTCTGTTAAGTACATCTGTATAATTGATTCGTTGTTCTTTTTTTCTCTGTTATGATTTATCGATTACTTTGTGTATTTAGTTTGTTATGCTGTTGTGTATGCTCTGTAACCATATGATTTGTAAAAAGGCAAATACAAATGTAATAAATGTTATTCTCTAGAATGCAAAAAAGTCACAACCCCATCCACACACACATGTCTTAACACTGTGGGACACTTCATTGTTCAGTGTCCTGCTGCCTGTAATATACAGAGCAGCTGACATGGAAGAGGCTTGGAGCAGGACTTCAAACTCTTTTAACACACACAAGATGAACTGTGGGATATAAGTAACACATTTCTGGTCCCACCTTACAATGAATACTGATGTGAGGCTGCCCTCTGGAGGTAGTCATCTTATTGGCATTCTGTGGTTGGAAGAAAAGTATAAACTAGTTGGTGAGCAACCTGTACTTATTATCTTCCAAGTTGCTCTTATTACTGCTTAGAGACAACATATTTGTCAGGATTATGAGGGGGTTAGACTGGCACTATCACTCATTCTAAAAAAGTGTGGTTTGTTAGTTATAACATAGAAACTAAACTTGAATTAGGTTTTATTTACATTGTTATACTTGGCTAAGTAAGGAGAGCTGTAGACATAAAGGCAACATGTGAGCAAACACTACACTACCCTCCCTCACATGAAAACATGAATCTAAGAGGGATATCATCTTTACATCATTGGCTGTGTTTGTTACACAGTGGGTTTGCTCCTCTTTTTCCTTTTCTTCAAACTGTTAAATGAAACGTACAGGTGGAGAACCAGAGAAATCTATGATACACTTTCTACATACATATTTATTGAACAGAATCATTAACATACAAGTCACTTTGGTATTATTTTAGTTTGAGAAATATACCATGAAAGTATTAAGGATAGCTTCTTCAAATAATAAAAAAAACATTGATGAAATAAAAGCATTTAGGTGTGTGTTATGGTATCATCCACCCAATTCCCTTTACTGTGAATACTCCTGAGTACATATTCATACACATATACGAAGGGCTGAAACTCCTTTTACTTTGTTAGCACGAATTGTTGCTTATTATTAAAGAATGTTCTCTGGATTCAATCTGTTGAATATTAGAAGACAGTGAGCAGTGCAAAGAGCCCGTAGAGCAGGGCACACGGGTACGCCACCAACAGCTGCTGGCCCTCCATAGCCAGGGTGGAGATGAAGATCTTGGAGGCAGAGAGACTACACCAAGAAATCCCAAGCACGGCCAGAACTGTTCCCAGGTAGCCTCTGTGGAAACAGACAGACAGCCTGAAAACCAATCTTTCCTGAACTCCCTGAATCCTGCAAGTTTGACAGCTATTTGCAGATTTTACAACGTGTAAAACCCAATGATTTCAATAAAAGTCTCTTTCCCACTGTAAGTCACACAGATGTAGTTTGGACCCCACAACAACTTGCTTTACCGCACGCAGTGGCGTAACTATCGACGGTGTTGTGTATGCTCTCTCACACATTAGTAAGAGAGTGTTGTGCTCAGACCCAGAGAGATGGTGGCCTCGGCGTCCCCCCCGTCAGCTGGAGCAGCACCTCAGGGACCGGATCCACCTGCCTGATTGGACCAGGACCTTAGAAGTTACCCGTTGTTAATATCACAGTGAATTGTGTGGACATCTCGTCCCCCCCCCCACCGGCCCTCTCCCTGCTCTCAGAGAAGGTGTCTGCAGAACATCACTGACTGTGCAAGTGTCACAGTGCGCTCACACCGCCATACATCATGTAGGCTGTGTGAGAAACAAGCTCCTTTTCTTCCTCTGAAAGCTCCACATGTCCACATCCTCCTCTGCACACTTTAACTCAGGATTACACCACGACACATAAGCAGGGTCCTACAGCAAACAGCAGTGACTAACAAATGGACCAACTTTCTGTCAAATTGGCGTAACTATCGACGGTGCAGCCGGTGCAACGCACCAGGGCCCAGAGCCGGCAAGGGGCCCATGCAACAATAAATAAATGTAAAAAAATGTTTTATATATATTTTTTAAATATTCTTTTAAAATATTTTTCTTTTGGGGCCCCAAAGGCATTGACCAGTTCACGCAGTCTTCAAAGTAACCAAGCAACCTAAATTAATTTGTTATTTGTCTGTCCAATGACCTTGCTCCCTTTCATGTCATGTGATACCTTGCGTGACGAGCGAACCGTTTAATCAACCTGTACTGTGCTGTAGCTAGCAGCAGCAAGTTCGGCAGCATTATAAAAAATGTAATAGCTTGCATTTATAATGTAGAGCAAACCAAAGCACAAGAGCAGCGCTCAAAAGAGAAAGGACAAGAGAGAACATGGAGATGTAACAGCTAAACTGACTAAATTAGACCGTTTTTTTTGTCATACATCGTCCTCGAAATCGAGCGCTAACGTTAGCAATGTTGAAGTGCAGCGGCAGCCGGAGCCGGAGGCTAACGATAGCTCACCTGCCTCACCACCATCATTGCCATCTAGCTCCACAAGTGAAGCTGTATCCTTGGCTGTGCGACCTTCTTCTCCAGCCAGCCAGGAGGAGAGGCTGGATTTGGCTGTGTAAATAATATTTGCACCGGGGCCAATTACAACCTTGTTACGCCACTGACCGCACGGCACACTTGATGAACTCTTGCAGTTAGGTGTCAAATTTGGATAAACTCAGTGAATCTGGTGCCGTGTTGTGATCTGTACCAAAGAAATGCGTGTCCGATGACCTTTACAAGAACACGAGAACAATAGTGTTCTTCAACTCAACCTAACCTATAATGCGTCTGTTATCAGAAGATAGAGGTGTGATATGTGAGCTGTAACACCTACATACATACCTAAAGGTCGCTACACACCAACCTGAGACCAAAGAACGCGTACCGAAGGCGTCCCGACTTTTACGTCCGCTACGTCGGCTATGCCGCCCGCCTACGCCGCCCGCCTACGCCGCCCGCCTACGAACACACCGCAAAGACTTCAGTCGACGAGTGGCAATGACTGTCCTTACCAGCAGGCAGCGGTAGTGTGTATTCGTCATTCAAAAGAGGCAACAGCCAATCAGAGTGATTTCTTTGGCCGACTTTCTTTGGCCGATTCAACATGTTCAACATGTTGAATCGGCCGCGGGAGGTGTGAAAATGTGCTGTAAAGCAACGACGGTGCGGGACACACCAACCTGAGTAGGGCGCCGTGAATGCCCGACTGCCTCTGACGGCCTCTGACTCCCAAAATCGGGTAGGTGTGTCAGGGCCTTAAAACATAACACCTCAGAGATCCTGTTAGTGCCTTGCTCAGAGCACTTCATCAGGTTTGCTGGTTGACACACTAACTTAATGCATAGAATTCCTGATTTCACTTTTACAACACCCTTCCATGACCAACAATTGTTTTGTTTTTTTATCATCCAATGAATCTCACATAAAACAGTATTATAACACACAACCAGTGAGTGGACTTACTGTAAAGAGCAGAAGACGGCGACTGCAGAGACCCCCACCATGGGCAGCAGGCAGTACCCCAGGACGCTGGCCACACAGCCATAAGACACCGCCAGGGAGCTCATGAGACTCAGCAGGACGTACATCCCAATGCAGGCTGTGGCGCTGAGCCCGTACACATACCCAAAGTGGGCTTTACCTGCCTGTATGTACGAGAATAAGGAAACAGACGGGCATTTGTTATAGTACTGTGCATATACTTGGTTGAGTTTGGCAGTAGTACCATGCTAGCAGCTCACCATCATTAAAGTGACCCCCAGTGCCACACAGAAGAGGACGGGACCCGTCAGATCAGTCTCGTTCATGATGCTGCCATCTGCAGGCTTAAAGGGGTTCAACACCGTCAGGGTCTTCTGCCAGATGTGGTCGAAATTGATGCCAAGTTCTAGACAAGGAACAGAAATGGAAAACAAAGAATGGAATACCAAAGCTTTCTACTTTTATCCCGCCCCTGGTCACCCAATTACTACTAATCACTAATTGGTTGTTTCTACAGCTGTTTCCTGGCATCTTGCACCCAACCTTGAACAGACATTTGCTAGCTAGATTCCAACTAATACAACATGGCTAGTTATTGATTTAATCAGTTTTACCCTCAAGAAGGGACGGCTCCTCTTCAGGCGAATATGCTTCTGTGCCCTCCCCAGAAGTCATTTCAGGTTGGTAGTACTGTCCAGTGTACTGCTGCTCCATGGAGGGGTCAAGAGCTCCACTGAAGACAACAAGAAACAAGAATTACAGACTCCAGGACGTATGCCTCCACCAACCCATCAACCCACAGCTTACATACATGTCTGCCCAAAATGGCCTCGCATCTTTCTGAAATAATTCCTGTTATTTTTGATAAAGATATAGATTGTACCAAGGAGATCATTTCAAGGAACTATTTAGTTTGGATCAGCAAACGGTGTCTACTTAAGAAATGGTTAAAAAATACCTTCATGCAGAGTATTTTCTCAACAAGATTCTGGAAATACCTTCAGAATGAGCGCTACGTTTGTCCAAGGACCCTGTGGTGTTTTTTTGTATACATACAGAGTTTTTCTTTTATCCTGTGTATCCTTGAGATCATCTTTTGTTGCTACATTTGGGCCAAATTATACGTTGAATATCTGCGTGTCCGAGAGGGTCCGCTTTGGGCATTGTGAAACAAATGGCGCTTGCATTGTGTAGCAGACTGACACTGGCCTTCAATAGTATTATGAATGGAAACATATTGACATTGCAAAGGATAGTACGTACAACCCTTTAGCGTGTTACTTAATATATCTATGTTGCAAATGTATTATCTTTTCAATTTACACACGGCATCTATTGCACGTCTGTCCGTCCTGGGAGAGGGATCCCTCCTCTGTTGCTCTCCCTGAGGTTTCTCCCATTTTTCCCTTTAAACTGTGGGTTTTCTTCGGAAGTTTTTCCTTGTACGATGTGAGGGTCTAAGGACAGAGGGTGTCGTATTGTCATACTGATATTTTGTACAAACTGTAAAGTCCACTGAGACAAATGTAACATTTGTGATATTGGGCTATATAAATAAACATTGATTGATTGATATTTAACTTATCTTAATATATCTAACAGCTAAATGTGCTGTTGGTCTGAAACTAATGTCATGCCTCACACACATGCGTGGTAAGAGGCTCCATTGAGTGGTGCAGTGATGAGGTATTTTCGTATTGTATTTTAGAACATTGCAGAAAAAAAGATCTTTGGCAAACATATGTTTATGATGCGTAACGTTTTGTTCTTTATGATTATCTCCACATAGTAACACCACTTTATGATTTTTGAATTGTGCATGCAATCACAGGAATAAAAGCTGTAAACAGAGAAACTTTTATGTTAGGCTATAAACAAACTACATCCCGATTGCATGACTTCGTCTCATCACCGCTTGTTAGTAACCGTTGTTTTTAAATTCACCAGTGGAGTATTTACTGACATACTTTATGTCCTACAACAAAACCTGAAAACCTTTTAAGTTTGTGTAAACCACAGATCTTATTCCAGGCGTCTAACCAAAAGCACATTAAAAAAACTGTTGATTTTGAGGTATGGGAACCGGAAGACCGCAACACCACTCTATATAGAGTTATCTTAAAAATGTCAAAAACGTACGTGTTGTCATAATCAGGGTCTGCAGAATTGTGGGTCTCATAGTAGGCCACAGTGTGACCCTGGTCATCGATGTAGTATCCTGACTGGTAGAAGTCCTGCTCGAAGGGCTGGAAGTCCCCCATGCTAACCAGACAAACAAAATCATGTCAAGGAAATCACACACAGTACTAACAGAAATAAAGTATCCTCCTTTAGCGTAGGCTGCATCAAGGCCTTACTGGCTTTTTTACTCATTGTTGTGTCAACTCTTTTGAAATGCTCTCCTAATTAGGAATGGACAGATGAGCATCACAGAGGTGTCTCCTCTGGTAAACATATGTCCACCATGTACCAAACATGTTTACTTTCTGATTTGCAAAAATATAATCACATTATGGGAACTTTTTACATCAGACATTGTTTGTCATAGCAGGAAAAGCAAAGGTGAAGCTAAACATTATTATTAATACATGAATGATGGCTCTTTCTCAGCTATTATTACATTGTGATGCATTACCAGTGCTTTACAAGTGCAAAAGCTATACAACATGTCTATTCGACCTGATTTCCCCTCCACATTAAATCTCTGGTCGAGTTTACATCAATGTTATTTGACTTGAACAAAGTCTAATTCGGACATATGGAGAACTTGAGTGGTCATATTTCATAGCACATTAGTTTGTATGATCAAACCTTTTGTTTTCTCAGAGAACTCACCTGTTTGTGCTTGCAATACGCAGTAGGCTGTCTCCCTCACAGTAGTGTGTTTCCAGAGCTCACAGCATGGGAAGTCCAGTCTGGTCCAATATTCTATTAATAGTGGGCTATTTTTGGATTTGGTCCCAGGGAAATGACAACTGCTCAGCGCCTCTTTCTTCTGTTTCTACAGGAGTTAAGGGTTACTTTATATACCTAAATAAACAAATATTGCAAACATATTTGCCATTTTAGTGACATGAATTGCTGGAAAGGTACTGTAGTATAACCATAACATTTTTACAAGACTAGGATTCAGTGGCTCTGCAAAGTATTAGAAATCCATTAGATGGTTTGATTTTGGTCTTTTTTTTTTCAAAGAATTATTTGTATAAGATTGTTAAAGGCTAAGCAATTAAACGTATGAACAAAGTCTAAGCATTTTGATCATCTGGCCAGTTGGTCCATTCAATTCAGACTCAAAGCAAACATATCCGAAAATATGTTTTTTGTTTATATAAATCCATGACTAAAGTGTTTTGAAATGTCTTAAATGTAATGAGAAAGTTGATAATAATGTATGCTGTTACACACTCCGGTACAGTAGGTTGCGGAAGACACCTTTAATTAAAGCTGTTTTTAGTCCGCCACCGACGAAGAAGAAAGCAGCGCAGTGCGCAGTGCGCAGTTTGCGGTCACGTGTTACGCAGCAGCGACTCTCCTCAACATTCTTTCAGAGCCGGAAACAAAACAAGCTGTCATGTGATTAGTGGTAGTGCCTCTCGTGAAGAGTGTAAGGTTTGTGAACCCATTTCATGTTTTATATTGTATTTTGTGTAGTTTGTTAATATAGCATTTCAGATTAATTTGGCATGCACAGGTCAACCTAACTATAGGCACTAGTTTAACTTTATTATTATAGGAACAAACCTAAGAGATAAATATCGGCTGATATCTTGCTAAGTAGCTAACATGTCAACCTGACCGAGGAGTTTGTTTCTTTCTAAAGTGAATTCATATGAACAGAAAGTGAAGCTAACGTTACTGTAATAGAGCCTGTGTCTCCCAGTGTAGCTTATATTAACATACAATGAAGACAACGTTAATCTAACAAAGCTTGTTTCTGTCTACAGTTGACGTATATTGACAGATAGTGAAGCTAACTGTAACTCTAATGAAGCCTGTTTCTCCCCACAGCTGCCGGACCGCTCTGCATATCATGGCTGATGTGAGTGTGTGTGTGTGTGGTGTGTGTGTGTGTGTGTGTGTGTGTGTGGTGTGTGTGGTGTGTGTGTGTGTGTGTGTGTGTGTGTGTGTGTGTGTGTGTGGTGTGTGTGTGTGTGTGTGTGGGTGTGTGTGTGTGTGTGTGTGTGTTGTGTGTTGTGTGTGTGTGTGTTGTGTGTGTGGTGTGTGTGGTGTGTGTGTGTGGTGTGTGTGTGTGTGTGTGTGTTGTGTGTTAGCTAGCCCCATAATCTTTCTCTAGCACAGAGATGGACAAACCTAACAGAATGTTTTTTTAATAGTTTTTTATCAAACGAAATGTCGCATTTAACTGTATATGAATATACAACTTATAGTGCGCGAGAGCAAAATGTGATAACATATTGTAGCGTAAAATGTGAGTGTGTGTAACATGACGTTAGCATGTAGCTCCACACTGTAGCACTCTTGTATGTTAACCAGAGCTAACAGCTGCAGGCTCTTCGCTGTAATGGACATGCACACAACCACAACATGGCTTTCAGATATTTCCCAATAAACTAATAGGAAAAGGAGCATATATAAACACATCTAAAAAAACACAAATCAATGACTTCTTGTTACTTTACAATAAAGATTTTTGCATGAAAAGTATGATATTTGGTCATAAATTAAACTAGCCAACAGTTTATAGAACAACTTCTTAGTCGATAAATGAACATAACACATTAATTTGACACATTTTGAGTTATTTTTTCATTTAATTTAGATTGTTCTGCATTGTGTAACTTTTAAGTGTAATACTTAAACAACATTTTGCTGATAATAATCTTAATTATACTTAATTAACATTTCCAATGCAGGACTTTCAATGATAACAGAATATTCTAACAGTGTGGTATTAATACTTTAGCTTCCGTAAAGGATCTTTGACTGTGTCAGACTGACAGGCAGCTTGTTGTTATCATGTGTCTCACTTGTTGTTTTCCATCCAACACATGTTTCTTACAGGATTTGAAGAGATACCTGTACAAACAGCTGCAAAGGTGTGTATAACCAATGCCCAGCTTTGAGGCCGTATTGTGTAGGGTCATGTGTAACATCTTCTCTGTGTTTTCCTTCAGTGTGGAAGGTCTGCATGCTGTGGTGGTGACAGACAGGGATGGAGTCCCAGTTATTAAAGGCAAGGAACCTTTCCACTCTCATCCTTGAGTGTGCTCCTTTTCCTTTCCTCTACTTTTTCCCACTGCAAACCACAGTAAAGGATAACCTCAATTATCCATGATATTGTGGTTTTTCTTTCTGTTTCTTTTATTTCCTGTGTGAGCCATTTTCAGAACAGCATCCAGTCCTACTTGTGACTTCCTCTGTCTGCTGGCAGCTTCTTGCTATGGTCCTAGTTATGTAAATGTTCCATAAACACTCGATGGCCTGGTGAAAGCGCAACACTGCTGTGATATTTGGCATGTATATACTCTCCTTAGTGTTATTAGTTGGAATATAGAATATTGGTTTCCTAACTAACAATCCTACAGTCTACACCAGCCTTTACCTAGAAAGCTGCTGGTCAATGTGTCCAGGAACATGTTGTTGTCCCGGACAGATAAGAGGAATTCAAAATGAAAACAATTGATAGGAAGGCTATAAAAAGAATGACATCATTAAGGCATGTGGATTTATATTTCGCTGAACAGCTATTTCAGATCAAACGGAGCCCCCTCAATGGCAGAATTGCAGCATGCAAAACATAATTTCCTCCAGCTCTAGCCTACATATTCTCATATAAAATAAAACAGAATAAACCCTTTTCATTAAAGAAACAAAATACATGTAGGCCTGTCCGACCCATTACACTTTGATTAAGACGTGCTTCTGTCAACTTGAAGTAAAGCGCTGTTTTAATTCTGGTATGTAGTAACACTAATATACAATATAACTCTTCTGTGTTAAGTCGCATGGTGTAGATTGTATTTTATGTTCTAAAACATTAAGCTACATCCAGTACATTCCTGATGTCGTTCTTTATACAGCCTTCCTATCAATTTGTTGAATGGATCAGTCGGATTCAGCAGGGGACTGTCAGCGGTGTGTCGGTAGTGTGACTTAAAGTGAGTTGTAGGTTACATCAGCGGTCTGGGAGAGCAGCAGTTCCCTGTCTGTCTGGCTGGTGGTTGTTGTTGGTAACATTGCCTCTGTGTCCCTGCAGTTGCCAATGACAACGCCCCGGTGCACGCTCTGAGGCCGGGCTTCCTGTCCACCTTCGCTCTGGCCACAGACCAGGGCAGCAAGCTGGGCCTGTCCAAGAACAAGAGCATCATCTGCTACTACAACACCTACCAGGTGTCTGCTCTGTCTGCACACTGCACACCAGCAGCTAGGGATGGGTACTGAGCCCCGGGCCGCGGGGCTGAATTATTAAAGACCGTGGTACCGTTAAGCTCCGACGTTAGGTCTTTTATCGGTACTGGAGACATGTAAAAATGATCTGTCATATGTATTATTACTACACAAACATTAAATTGCAGTTTTAGTGTCGCCAACTCCGTTTCTAATACGCAAAAAGACTGCAAAAATGCTTCTATGATTATTTTTAGTATGTTCGATCTTTCCGATCCAGATGAGAGATCTCTCTCCCCCGTCTGTGTGCGAGGGGGCGGGGCAGTTTACACACACACGCAGCTGCTACATGCAGCAACACACACACACACACACGGAGGAGATGGCGGAGAGAACGCGCTCCAAGGTGTGGTTAAACTTTACCCGTCTCGATGTGGACAATACTCGTTAAGTGCAATAAGAGTTCAGCATGTAAGGCGGTAACGCGAGCAATTTGTCTAAACATTTAGCAAAAGTGCACCACATCCAGACGGAGGAATGCACCGGGTTCCACTGTCTTTCTAGCAGCTCTGTAGCCCCCCCATCCACGAGCAACGTTTCCACGTCAGGTGTTATGTATGCTAGCAGCAACACACGGAGTTAACTCCATTATACAAACATGGGTTAATGATTAGAGGAAACTGAGTTATTTATTTAGTTAAAGTTTCAGCTATTCTGTTTACAGTTCTGTCATCAGATTATTTAATACGATTTGTTAAAACGTTGTTGTTTCTTTTGATGTGAAATATTATGTATTTAATTTAAATAAAAAGCAATGTTAGTTTTGTTCACAATTTGTTTAGATAGTTTATCTTATTTTTTTCTCCAAAAGAACCGATAAGAGTACCGTTAAAAGACCGGACCGATAAGCGCTATCGATAAAAGTAGTAGTACCGTTAAAACCTTAACGATACCCATCCCTACCTGCAGCTCACACACCTTTGTTTTCACGATGCTTTATTTGCTGACACACACTGTACATCCTGCACTGACACCCCAAGCCTAACTTGTGTTTCCTCTGTTGATCAGATTGTGCAGTTCAACAGGTTACCGCTGGTCATCAGCTTCATCGCCGCCAGCAACGCCAACACAGGTACAAAGTCTTCAAGTCAAGAATAATCAAGCACAGATATGATCGATGATCAGGGATCTTTTCCAACAAGTTCATCCAACATTCAGATTGTTTAAGCTCTGCAACTGAAGAAACCTTATAAATCTTCCATTTACAATCACTTGTTCTGACAATCCATCCATAAAAGAATGGGGTAGCAACATGTAAACAATAATGAACATGGAACACACGCCGGGATCCTTTAAGTCAGCCTTTTTAAAGTGATCAGATTAAGAATCATAATACTTTTTTTTCAGTTTTAGATAATTTTCTGACCAGTGTAGCCATTATTATATTCTTAAAGGAACCGCATGCTGGATTCGTACTTGCGTCCACCACAGCATGGACTGAGCTGAAGACTTGAAATATAAAATGTATGCACCATTACACACCAAATGAAATTCCTTGTATGTGTCAACCTGCCTGGCAATAAGCCTTATTCCGATTGATCTGATAATAACATTCCGTTCATCACACTTGGCTGCTTTTTGAGTCTCACCAGGAGGAACAAACAGTCACAGATAAATTTATGCTTTATCTGAAGTAAGCACGTGCATTGTGTCCTCAGGTCTCATCATGAGTCTGGAGAAGGAGTTGGCCCCCCTCATAGAGGAGCTGAGGCAGGTGGTGGAGGTCACATAAACAGACCACCTCTTCATCATGATGATGGAACTCTTCACTGTTGACTTACTTCTGCCTTACCTGTAGACTCTTTCTTCTTCTGATCAGCTTTTTAGACACAACCATATTTATATGTCCAATCAATGTCAGCAAAGCCCAATAAATGTTTACTGTCAACAACTTCAGTCGTCTTTTTTATGTCTAATCTTGTCACGTACAAACACACATTGATAACCCCTGTATTTGTTAGGTAAAGGTCAGTTTCTCCGTACAGATTCAGTTTCCATGTGAGGACCTTCAAACCTTCACACTTGGTTTCTCTCATGTTGTCGTCCACATGCTTCACACTATGAAGTTTAATATGGAAACGTTACATTGTATGGAAATTATTCATAAATTAGAATAAACAGGAAGAGCTAGAAATGTCAATTCTGTTCCTGTTTTATCGTCTTTCATTGCAAAATAAGGAATATTTATTTCTATATTTATTTAACAGTCAGTGTAAACTTCTGTCTACATTTTGGCTCTTGTTTCCTACATACCCTACCTAATAACATTGCAATCCTAATATATAAATGCCTCTGCATTCAATTACGACTGGTTGTGTTGGAAACAATGGAGACGAAACTCAGAGCAGGAACTTTGGTGGCAAACACTGATGGTTTGTTTGGAGCTTTAGCCGGAGAATTCACAAGACGTGCTGTGCCACGAATTGACACAGTAGAATGCCAAACCAATTCTAAAGATCTCTACCCCAGGCCCATGTGTTTAGCTAGTTCTGAGAGAAGAATCAGCATTGTGCATAACAAGATAGAACCATAACACCTCTATCAGCTGACGCCAACAAGCAGGAGCAGGGAGACAGAACACTGAGAGCACAGCAGCCAAGGTGCAGGAGCTCAGTGAGGGCAGTACAGACTGATAAACTGGGTCAAAGGTGTGGGCCTAGGAAAACATTTCCCCAACATTGGTTTTAGTCATAACTTGGTTGATAACGAGCTCTGAAAGCAGAAGTTTAGTGAAAATAATTGCAATCAGACTTCAAGTATTTTGAACAATTTATTTAAAAAATGAGTGTACCCCTGTAAAGTGTATAATTTGGGCATCATCACTGCCTAGTGGCAAAGAAGAAATCCCCCCTCACATCCCCCTTCCCCCCCACTCCCATTGCTCCCCGGGCGCTGTACAATAGTTGCCCACTGCTCCTGGTACTAGGATGGGTTCAATGCAGAGGCCACATGTCACTGTGTGCTCTGCATGTGTGACCATTAAAGAGGGTTTCATCCCTCCAATTCTCTTTTCTAACATGTATTTCCTTTCCTTATTAAATGTATTTCCTGCTGCATCAACTTTTCTTTTGACGTTAGACATTTTGGTTCCGTTTATACTCTTCATGATTACATGACTGGACTTAAGAAGAAACTGCAACATTTTAAGAGATTTCAGTGAGCCGGTAACAAAATCAAGATTCACTGTGCGACATGTAGTTCATGGAAACCTTATTTGTGTAAAGCGGAATAGAATTGTTTGATTATTATTTGGCACTTCTGTGTAACAGTGATCAGCTGTAGCTGTTCCTCACCACTGGGAACCAAAATAGTGGTGCAGTGATGACGTAGGCCAACCCAGCCGTTAGCATCACAAGTGCTCTATCCACAGAAAGCAATGGGATTTCTCCATGTGGTTTTGGAATACTGCAGGAAGTAAGCTCTGTGGCAAACACACATTCATGATACCTACAGGTTTTTGTATTTACTGACATATTTTATGTGTAGGCATCTAACCAAAAACACATTCAATTAAGGAAGTACTGAGAGATGCTCTTATGGATTCATGCTAGCAATATCTTTGAGGTCCCGAGGGTCATAGAAGCCAACAGCACGCTTGTGACTGAGCCACATCCAGGCCAGCCTTAATGTGATGCTACACTTTGGGATGCTAAACCCTTCACATGTTAATGGGGCTCTCCTTCATTGTTCCTTCCCTTTATCTCCTGTCTCTTTGCTGACAGCTGTCACCGACCTTTGCTTATCTGTGACTGAAAACAGAGAATACATTGCATTACATTTAGCTTCTATCCAAAGCACCTTACAATAAGTGCAATCAACAGTGAATATATATCGAGCTATCAATAACACAAAACAGAATCATTTTTTTGGCCAAGTTTTCAAGCGCAGTGACAATGCAAATGATCCCAGCCCTGGAAGCCTAACAGTTGAAAGCCAAGTCAACATTAAAGTGCTGCTGCCACCTCAGAACACTTCTAAGTGTAAATGTAATGTAATACAAAGATAAGTGTGTTTAATCAACAGAAGAACAGTGGTTGACTTAAGGAAGTGGGTTCACAAGCTGTGAATGACTAATTTATCACTCTTGTCACTGTAATAATAAACTTTCCCTTAACCTGTCCTGTTTTCTTCTAAAGTCTGGACCCTCTCAATAGTTCTTTAGCTGGTTTCTCTCCTCTTTTCTACACTATGATCTGGATTGAAAGGCATAGACCCTTCATAAGTTTGAGTTGCACTTCTTACCAAAGTAACATATTCATTCTGAACAAACTCACCAGTTTCCACCTGAGGATCTTGATCCACTCATCTGCCTCCACTCCCGTCTTTGCACAGAGATAAAATGTCCTTTCAGGAAACACTAAGCTGTGGACACAAAGAGAAGAGGAGAGCATTACATTGGATCATCTGGTTTTTACCCAAGGTATTTGATCTCATCTCTTGAGTCAGAGTCATTAGCCTTGGTTAGGTCTAGAGAAGCCTGTTCTTAAGATCAAAGTATAGGTTCCCTACAAAATGGTTTTACTGATTTTTCTTCCTTGTTTTTAACCCTTGAGCCTCAGCGGTCACTCAATGGCCAAAAGTAAATCAGGGCTCTAACATGTGCGTTGTAACACAAACCCTGTTATCCCGCAGTTTAGATCGATAACTAAGCAGCAGTGGACTGTGTGAAAGGCAAAGGTGGTAACCTCTGCTACCCTTTAGTTACTGTGCACCTCTCCCTCCCTCCCCCCATTTCCTTCTCTTATTGAACTACTTCCCCTTTTTTGTAAATACAAATATGTTGCTGCCATGGGGAAGTTGCCTCAGAGAGCCTTGCTGTAGCTCATCTCTTCATAGTGTGGCTGTCATCTGAAAATAATGGCCTATAGTTTTCTTATATTTTTATCTCTTTAGTAAAATTGCATTTTTCGTTCACTTTTTTCATTATCTTTTGTACAGTTTTTTATTCCAGTTCTTCAACCCTTAAATCATTTTTTCATTAAAATATGTAGGTTATTTCCTATTTCAGAAGTGGAATTGCAGGAGGGAGGAGCACCCTTATTGACTACACTCTACACTCAACAAGTGCTTTATACTTCACATTATTGCTTCAAATGTACCACCTTAACAACATATTTTTACTTAGAAGGCACAGGGCAGCACGGTTCTACTCGGTTCCAATCAGATACATTATGATGTGTTCGAGGTCTTTGCTGTAAACATTTGTATAGGTGAAAGGTTAAATTATTTTGATCACGATTTGTTCAAACTGCATTCTGTAAAATTGAGTTTTAGGTGAGAAATTGCACAGCACTATAAATCCTCAACACCGGAGCCCCTCAAGGCTGCGTGCTCAGCCCTCTCCTCTACTCCCTGTTCACACACGACAGCTTCAGGTTCCTCGGTGTCACATCACTGAGGATCTGACATGGACTCTTCACACAAACACCATCACCAAAACAGCTCGACAGCGGCTCTTCTTCCTCCGCAGGCTGAGGAGGTTCAACATGGACAAGCCCACAGGATTATCAAAGACCCCCATCACCCCAGCCACAAACTGTTCTGTCTGCTGCCATCTGGCAGGCGGTACCGCAGCATCAGGACTATGTGTGTGTAGACGGTGGAAGCAGGGAGAGGCATATACGTGCCTTGATCCCTGCCGAGTCGACGCACAACTGTTGATTGGTGTCAGTGCCAAAAAAACTTTTTAGGAGCAATGCGCTCATGGTATAGATGTGGCGCATACTTCTTAGTTCCTACTCTTTTCCCTCAACCTATCCTAAGGGAGTGCATGTACGTAGACACGTTGTGCCTCTCCACCTCTGTTCCTTATACTTCTTACTTGCTACACCTTTCCCTCAACCTATCCTAAGGGAGTCCATGTAAATAGACATGTTAGTTTTGCTGCTATAGGCTAGACTGTCTGGGGACACCTTACTTCTTCCTTCTGTCTGTACGTACCTGTAAGTAAGTAAGTAAAACTTTATTTATATAGCACCCTTCTCAACACGGATGTACAAAGTGCTTTACAGTACAGTACACAGGACACAATTCAAAGTAAAACTATAACATGTAGAATAAAAGGCATAAAACAGCAGCAGGTAATACATAGGATAATACATAGGATAAAACATACGATAAAACACCAATAAAAGACAGCTACTAACTCACCTCCCCCGACGACCCAAAGGCCTGTCGGAAAAGGTGGGTCTTTAACTTCCCCTTAAAAATCTCTATTGAGGCCGAGGTTTTTATTATCTGGGGGAGTTTGTTCCAAAGCCTTGGGGCCACCACCTCAAAGGAACGGTCACCCTTAGTCTTTAGCCTGGTTCGGGGCACCCTTAGGAGGCCTTGCTCAGAGGACCTCAGGGCCCGGGTTGTGATGTGCGGGTGGATAAGGTCATTGATGTAGGCTGGGGCTTGGCCATGGACAGCTCTATATGTGAAGACCAGTACTTTGAATTGGGTTCTGAGATGGACAGGGAGCCAGTGCAGGGCAGAAAGAATCGGAGTGATGTGGCATGTTTTTTTGGACCGAGTGAGTAATCTGGCTGCAGCATTTTGGACCTGTTGTAACCGGTTTATTGATGTTTTGCTGAGGCAGGAGAACAGAGCATTACAGTAATCAAGCCGGGATGAAATAAAGGCATGGATAGCCATCTCCATTTCTGCGTTGGATAGAACCCCCCTGAGCTTGGCAATGTTCCTGAGATGGAAAAAACAGGTACGGGTCAGAAGTTTTATGTGTTTGTCTAGTAGCATAGACTGATCGAAGGTAACACCAAGGTTTTTTATGTTTGCCCTTATGTTACCACTGAATGAACCCAGGTGGCTTGCTACCTTAGAGGCGATGTTATCAGCCGCTGAGATCAAGACGTCCGTTTTCGATGCATTGAGCTGTAGGAAGTTGCTTGACATCCACTCCTCAATTGCAGACAGACATGTGATGAGGGTGTTTACTTTTTCCATTTTGACAGGTTTGAAGGAGAAATATATCTGGATATCATCTGCGTAGCAGTGATACGAGACATCCTCAAATTGGCTAATTAAGTGGCCCAATGGGAGCATGTACAGGACAAAAAGAAGGGGGGCTAAAACAGAACCCTGGGGCAGGCCATGTTGCTGTGGTCGTGTGTCCTGGATCCTGAGCACTGGATCTGAGTCCTGGACTTCGAGTCGTGGCTGAACCTGTCTCTGCGGTCCTGCCTGACTCTCATCATACTACTTCACTGATGGCTCCCACAAGATTGCTGACATCCTCGTGGATTCATCTTCTTATTATAGACACATGCATTTCCAAACATTTGGTATGTTGTAAATGTATCATCTTTTCGATTTACACCCGGCATCTATTGCACGTCTGTCCGTCCTGGGAGAGGGATCCCTCCTCTGTTGCTCTCCCTGAGGTTTCTCCCTTTTTTCCCTTTAAACTGTGGGTTTTCTCTGGAAGTTTTTCCTTGTACGATGTGAGGGTCTAAGGACAGAGGGTCTAAGGACAGAGGGTGTCGTATTGTCATACTGATATTCTGTACAAACTGTGAAGTCCACTGAGACAAATGTAACATTTGTGATATTGGGCTATATAAATAAACATTGATTGATTGATTGACCAGACTCAGAGACAGTTTCATCCCACAGGCCATAAGACTGTTAAACACTGCGTAAACACGTAGAGCTTGCACTGTTTTTATTGTTGTTTTTTTACGTCTTGTAATTGCACTGTCGAAGAACATGCGGTCTAAATGTTTCATACATTACATAACTTCACCCTAGTTGTGTATGTGTTATGACAATAGACCTTTGAGTCTTGAATAGGTATAATAGAAAAAATGATGGCCTCTTTAACTTCGTTACACCAGCTCTAAGCAACTGTTATTAAAACTACTATTGCAAGATTTTTCTATTTTATAAAAGCAGATGTTTGAATATACATTCGGTATTTAAAATCATTGAATTTCACTGGTATCGGTATCAACTAGTACATTTCTGGTGACGTCCCTAGATTCCGATTCGGGAGGGTTTCTGTACAACATTTATATTACATATATACATCACAATAATTCAACTACATTTGCATAAAGCAAGCACAGTGGATAAGGTTTGAAATACTTTAGGGTTGAATTCATTTGCGATTCACTGCTGGACAATAATTCCATTAATTGTGATTAAATAGTTGTAATTGATTGCCACCCCTACTCACAATAAACTGATTATGTAACGCAACATCATAAGTTATGCATGGTATTGTAATCCTGATGTATGTTCAAAATCATTCAAACACATCGCAAGGTCCTCATCAGCTGATTGAACTTGACCTAAGAATGGAACTTTTTTGAATGTGCTTAACGGGCTTAATGAAAATCAATCAGAATTCTTGGACAGCATAGTGTTTAGCTTCAGACATACCTTTGCTTCTACAACAGCCCAGTTTATTCTGAAAAAATTACTCTTCATTACACTTCATTTAAAATGACAAGCAGCTTTCATTGGAAGATGTAATCGTAGGGTTAGAGTTAGAGGCTGCCATACAAGGTGCCAACTGCTCAAGAAAGGCTCAGATTCAGGCCACTGGGAGTTTTGAGGTTAAGTATCTTGCCCGAGCACACATTGACATGTTGACTGCAGGGGCTGAAGATCACACCAATGACCTTCTGATTGGTAGAAGACCATCTACCTTCCGAGCCACAGTCGACGCAAACACAAACATTTCCACATTCTTTATGTAAAATCAGTAATGCAGCCTCTCAGTGCTGAATAAGGTCCTACCACTACATCACCTACCAGAAACAGTTGACTCGTTCCTGAGAGTAGTCAAACTGTACTGCAGAGCAGGCTTTGAGGTCCACGGTCCGGATGGGCTCCTCACTCTGCAACAGAGATAGACACTGTCTACAAGTCCCAATAGTGATTGTCTAGGACTAAGAGCAGATTAAACTCAATATTAGCCAAATACTGTAATCAAATATTTGAAGTAACATCGCCTTTAGGCTAAAGAGAGATTCACCCCTTTGTCTTTGAAGTATTTGAGTTCATATCTGTTGAGTGTGAACCATCTCTGTTTCCAGTTCTGCACAAAAGATTAAAAGTCTGATCAGACACATGACTACTCGTTTATGTTTGAGACACAGTGAGGTGTACCAGCTCCACTGATCTTACCTTCACAAATGCTCCTTGTTTCGTCAGATAGCCTTCCTTTGTGCCTAGCTGAAAACACATAGTTCATGTTAGATAATTCAGATTTATAGCAAACCTTAAAAATCATATTCACTCAACTGACCAGCTTTTTTAGGTTCTTCATCAGTGAACAGTGAAGTTGTAACATGTTGTTGTTGTTCTTGGCAGTGTTAATGCCTTCAATGTTGAGCTGCAGTGTTCTTGGACCTCAGCATTTGACCTAAAAGAGCTATGCTTCTTGCGGTCTTCAAATGGATACCGTTGTAGGACTGATATTGACAATGACACATTGACCTGGCTCTCATGACAGGAGCTGAACATACCAAAGACAAACGCCAGAAGAAGAAGAACAACAAAGATGTTGGCTTATTGTCCTGGGGTTGGTTCAGCAAGTCAACTCAAGTATGGAAGCCGCATCACATAAAATCAGCTGGTGTCATGGCGTAGGTATTAACCTCCATCTAACGACTGCTGATCAAAAATCTTTGCCACAAGATACAACTCTTGTAGTTTGTGGGCAAAAGTTAGCAAAACTAGTCGTGTTATGATGATGTCAACAACTTCATACAATGGTGAAGGCTTATGCCCCCGCCAATATGTATCTTTCCAAGTTTGTCCCCATTTAAAAACGTCACCAAGTGCCTGTTGCGAAGGAGTATTGATCTTACTTATCCTAGGAGGAAAAATATATGCTTTATAGGGGTGTAACAGTATCCATATTCGTCCCGAACAGTCACGGTTCGGACGTCACAGTTCGGCACATGCAGTCACACGACGAATACGCCTTTTTTATGAGTGGGAAAAAAGTCTGTCATTCAGGGCAGTATCCATTACACTATTTATAATCCAGGGGCGGCATTGCGCCTAAAAGCTGTTTGCCAGCCGCCCTTAGACAACAAATGAAGAACAAGAAGAAAACACAACAAAACGAACAAAATACAAGAAGAAGAAAAGTTAGTATGGCGATTTCAGATAACACACAGGAGCTAGAACCCACCTGCTTCTTTTAAATCAGCTGTGTGGGGACATTTCGGATTCCCTGTGGACTACAATAACGATGGAGTGCGAGTGGTGGATCGGACAAGGACGGTGTGTCGGCGTTGGTGCGGTATGCTAATGGTAACACACGCCAAACATGCTAAATCATATCAAGGCAAAGCAAGGCAAGGCAAGTTTATTTATATAGCACTATTCAACACAAGGCAATTCAAAGTGCTTTACAAAAAATGAAAGACATTAAGAAAATGGCATTTAAAATCAGTCATTAAAAATAAAAACTAATAAAATAAACATTAAAAGAAAAAATACATGGATAAAAGTTACAGTGCAGTCTAAGATATGAATTGTTCAACTAAACATTAAAAGAAAAAGTACATGGATAAAAGTTACAGTGCAGTCTAAGATATGAATAGTTCAATTAAAAGCAGCGACAAAAAGAAAAGTCTTCAGCCTGGATTTAAAAGTAGTCAGAGTTGCAGCGGACCTACAGGTTTCTGGGAGTTTGTTCCAGATATTTGGAGCATAATAACTGAACGCTGCTTTACCATGTTTAGTTCTGACTCTGGGGACAGAAAGCTGACCAGTCCCTGAAGACCTGAGAGATCTGGATGGTTCATAATTTAGTAGGAGGTCAGAAATGTATTTTGGGCCTAAACCATTCAGTGCTTTATAAACCAGCAGCAGTATTTGGAAATCTATTCTTTGACACACAGGAAGCCAGTGTAAAGACTTCAGAACAGGAGTGATGTGATCCACTTTCTTAGTGTTAGTGAGGACTCGAGCAGCAGCGTTCTGAATCAGCTGCAGCTTCCTAATAGATTTTTTAGTGAGACCTGTGAAGACACCATTACAGTAGTCGAGTCTACTGAAGATAAAAGCATGGACAAGTTTTTCCAAATCCTGCTGTGACATTAGTCTTTTAATCCTAGATATATTCTTTAGGTGATAGTAGGCTGATTTAGTAATTGTTTTAATGTGACTGTTGAAACTTAGGTCAGAGTCCATGACTACACCTAGATTTCTGGCTTTATCTGTTGTTTTGAACATTGCACACTGAAGCTCAGCGCTAACTTTTATACGTTCTGACTTGGCTCCAAAAACCATTACCTCAGTTTTATCTTTGTTTAATTGGAGAAAGTTCTGACACATCCAGTCATTGATTTGTTCAATGCACTTACTCAGTGTTTGAATTGGAGCATAGTCTCCTGGTGAAATTGTTACGTACATTTGTGTGTCATCTGCATAGCTATGGTAACTTATTTTGTTGTTTTTCATTATCTGAGCCAGTGGTAGCATGTAGATGTTAAAGAGAAGAGGCCCCAAGATGGAGCCTTGAGGTACCCCACATGTCATATTTGTCAACTCAGATGTGTATTTACCTATAGAAACAAAGTTGTTTCTGTCCTTTAAGTAGGATTCAAACCAATTTAGAACTGTTTCCGAAAGTCCCACCCAGTTTTCCAGTCGGTCTAGTAATATGTTGTGGTCAACAGTGTCAAACGCAGCACTGAGATCTAATAATACTAACACTGAAGTTCTGCCACTGTCTGTGTTTAAGTGGATGTCATTAAATACCTTTACAAGAGCAGTCTCAGTGCTGTGGTTTGGACGAAAGCCTGACTGGAACACATCGAAACAGTTATTTAAATGCAAGAAATTACTCAACTGTTGAAAAACAACTTTTTCAATGATTTTACCTAGAAATGGGAGGTTTGATATGGGCCTGTAATTGTTCATTACTGAAGCATCTAGATTATTCTTTTTTAAGAGGGGTTTAATGACTGCAGTTTTCAGGGCCTGTGGAAAAATACCTGAGTGAAGAGATTTGTTTACTATATGAAGTAGATCTGAGGCCATGCAAGGCAAAACATCTTTGAAAAATCCTGTTGGAATAATATCAAGGCAGCAGGAGGAGGATTTCAGAAGTTGTATAATGTCCTCTAGGTTTTTATCATTAATCTGATGGAATTGTGTCATGATGTCTGAATTGATGTTAAGTGGACACAGAGACAACACATTTGCTGTTCCTGATGCAGAGGCACTGACTGCTTGTCTGATTTTCTGAATTTTGTCAGTGAAGAAGGAGGCAAAATCATTGCACGCCCTGGTGGATAGAAATTCAGAGGCTACTGACACTGGGGGGTTAGTTAGTCTGTCGACGGTAGCAAACAAGGCACGTGCGTTGTTTTTGGTAATGATGTCAGAGAAGAACGATTGTCGTGCGTTTTTCAATTCCAAATTATAAAGGCCAAGTCTCTCTTTATAGATTTCAAAGTGAACCTGGAGTTTTGTTTTTCGCCACCTGCGTTCAGCTTTTCGACATTCTCTTTTTTTTGTTTTCACGGTCATGGCCTCAATGCTAAATTAGATAAACTCACACAAACGTTTGAGCGCTTCCTGTTTCTAAGATGATTCACCGCTCTTAATCTATTACCTATCAACACAGATATCGGCAAAGCTACTGACAGGCAGGGCCCCGACATGTCCTGGAAAGAGTTGAGAGTGCCATACGCCCTTGAGCCTGGACCCAGCACATATCAGTAAGAATTTGTTGTGTTTTGTACACACACATCCTTATCAGGCTTCGGAGACTGCAGATGCTTTCTTGAAGGGAGGGGAGGTGGTTGACTAGGGGGGGGAGGTGGTTGACGTAGGCGCGGTGATGAAGACGGGGGAGATGGTGCGCATCTCTGCTTTGGTGATTTTGGTGGGCGTCGTTGAGGGGCGGGGGTAAAGGACATGCTGCCAACCCTGCGTGTCACCGTCATGCGGTCATTGAACTCCAGGGGGGTGGGCGAGGGTGAGAGGGTGAGCGGAGAGTAGAGAGAGCTGGGGGATGAATGAAGAGTATCCTCAAAGGCGGGTGACGGGCAGTGGAGACTCCTCCATTTGTGTCATAGGTCTCCCATAATCAGAACATTCCTCAGGCGGGTGCAGTGATACTTCTTCAGGGTTTTCTGCGCGATGTGTTGTGTATTTCTCCTGTTTTGATTCCTCTTGCCGCTTGTCCTTGGCAGAGGGAACAGATTGATGACGCAGGCAGTTGAATATGTTAGAGATAAACAATTTCACTCCTGACTTGTTCAGACAAACTCCATTTGCCTTAAAAAGATGTCTGCGGTCCCAGAAAAAGTTAAAATTGTCAATAAAATGGACAGAATGGTCAGTACAGACAGTTGAAAGCCAGGTGTTCAGTGCAAACAATCTGCTGAATCTCTCCACTCCTCTTCTGACTGGCGGTAGAGGGCCACTGATGAACACCGCTGCATTTAGAGAGCTGGCAGTTTCCAACAAACATTTAAAGTCTTCTTTCAGCACTTCTGATTGTTGTTTCACAACATCATTTGTTCCAATGTGCAGTACCACATTTTTTACATTCTGATGTTCAGCCCCAATATGCAGGATCTTCTCAGCCAAGTCAGAGATCACATCCTTGGGAAAACAGAGTACTTTGGTGTTGTTCTTACTACACAGACCTTTTACATCTCTTACAGCAGAGTCACCCACAATCAGAGTTTCAGGCCCAGTCGTTAGCTTTCCCTCTAGCCTTTTACTTTTGGAGTAGCTATTGGTCCTTACCCTGCTGTGTGAAGAGGACAGGTTATCCGGGTCATCAGAAAGAGATCTCCGGCTCTCGGTCAGCGGAGCGTATCTGTTCTGGATTGGCACACTTGGTGGTTTAGGAGGATTGTTTGTAATTCTCCCTTTAGCAGCTGTCCACTGCTGTTTCCTAGTATGAATAGGGGTTGAAGATGCGCTCTTCCTGGGTGATAACAATGCAGGCCAGCCGGTCGCATCACAGATTTCAGAATGCTGGGCTCTGCCTGTTATCCGTCCTCCCAAATCCCATGGAAATGATTTACTCTTAGGCTTTGCACCCAGAGAGTTCCAGGGAGGACTACCACTTGTAGATTTATTACCCAGTACACAGCCCTCCTGTTCCTTGGAATCCTTGTAGCTGCTAACTAGCTGTGAGTTAGCATACCCTTTTCCATTATTTTGCAACACTGGTAAAGTGGTGTCATTCCCACGACATAGTCCATTCACTTCCACGTTAACTTCCAACCGTTGCATTTTCATTTCCAACACAGCCATCTTCTCTATAAGTTTGTGGAAGTCATCTGTAGAGAACGGAGGCATTTTGCTACCAACTAGCTTAAGCTAAATAGCATGCAGTAGCCTACCAGGCTTTAGCTGTTGCTAGGCCACGCTACTGTAAGACTGAGGTCGTCGTAAAAATGTTGAAATATGGCTGAAACCCTTCGTCTATTTACGAAGATTAACTGTCCCATTGATAAGTTAATGTCCAGGAGCCGCTGCTCGAAGTTTTCAGAGAATAAGAATAGGAAAATCAGCATAAAAAGTAAGCAGAGGCAGGAGCAAGCAGAAAAGCGTCAGCACTGTAAGAAAGATAAGACAGAGTCAGAAGGCATCACCCAGATTTGCCAATCACCGGAGTCGAGAGACCAAAAGAAATAACGGAAGCTATTGGCATATATATTTCAATTGCTATGCGCCCTTGAAACACTTTCTTATTATTTATGATGTAATATTTTCAAGACATTCTTTTTAGTTTTACAGCTTGATGAAACCTTTTTGTTTGACATCAGCCATTATAGATAATATGGCCATCTGAGTATGTGTGGTACTGTTTGTGGTTTGTTTTTAACTGTGTAATAATGTTAGAGTTCCTTATTTTTATACTGAAATATGCACTACTGTTCAAAAATAAATAACAACAAACTTGGAATGATGCATTTGGGACTTTTTTTTGCTTTTTCTTGTTGTACCGAACCCGTACCGAACCGTGACACCCAAACCGAGGTACGAACCGAACCGTGAATTCTATTAATGTGTCATACCCACTTAACGGGAAGAAAATCAGCTAACTGACGATATGAAAATGTTTTACCGAAACAAAACACAACTCTAACGCCAAGCATCTGAATTAGCACTAAGCGAAAGAGTGCTTTCGCACTTAGCACATAACTCAAGGTATAAATATTTTATACTTCATCAGATCTGCAATGTATATCATATGAAAGCTGAGATTCCACAGATTCCAATGGTATACGTATCATCACTGAGCGATCAAAACTCAGGGCAGCGAAGGCAAGCAAAGACAACACACAACTTCACTTTACGTGGCCAAAACGGCAGATACGTCTTACCTTTGCTGTTTTCTGATCAAAGTTGTGTTCAAGGGCATTACAACGCATATAAACGCTGCTGAAGGTTAATCCAATGTCTCTGTGTCACTTTGAAATGATTACTGATAATCCATTTGAAACTATTAAGCCCCATAGCCCCCGCCGGCGGGGGCAACGGGCCTTAAAGGGCTTTTTTGTTCACGAAACTGTGTGTCAGGGCTTCTTAAAATGTAATAAACTATGAATGTGTCATACTCACTTAACGGGAAGAAACTCAGCTAACTGACGATATGAACCATTTTTACCGAAACAAAACACAAGTCTCTAAAGAAATGAGCACTGAGCGAAAAAATGCTCTGCACAAACAAGCTTTGCTAGCAAGCTGAGATTCCACAGATTCCATACATATAAGTATCATCACTGAGCGATCAGAACTCGCAACAGGGGAAGCAAAACCAGACAACACACGACGTAGCTTTAGTTAGCAAAAAACCTGGGACCTTATTTCGGAAAAAGTATGTATTGAAGTCAATGGCGAGAGAAAGATTATCTTTCGATCCCTTTTGAATTGTGCCACGAATTACACATATGATGTTTGTCAATTTAAAAGATTTTGGTGAAACCGCTCAATGAACTACATCTCCCGTCTCACACCACACACTTAGACGGCCCTCACGTTGGCACATTTAACTTCTTTCTTTCAGAATGAGGCGAAAAGTATTAAAAGAGGTGAAAATCACTCCAAGTCTGGGCATGTTGAGAGCTGTACATACACACAAGGGGAGTTAGTCGGTTCCGTAAGAGCCAGCATGCGGGACCGGGATTCTGGGATTTGTAGTCTTTCTACAGTAGTTGCGTATTTTTCATAGTCTTATATTTCAACAGTTTTATGACAAACTGTGACTTTTTTGACATGGAAATTATTTTTTTAAGATTGACAAACATATGTGTAATTCGTGGCACAATTCAAACGGGATCGAAAGATACGTTTTCTCCATTGACTTCAATGCATCATTTTTCCGAAATAAGGTCCCATGGGTTGGAAGTAGATGGGCGGGACTTCGCCTCTCTATGTGGAACTTCCCCTCGATTCCATTGGCTCTAACGGTTAGAAAGAGATGTCAATCATCAAAATCGAGCAAGGGGGGCCAGAGATAGGTCAAATCCACCCAAATGACCCCAGAAGTGTTTTTGTTGTGCTAAATCTCTCTAAAAAGATCAATTTCACTTGTTTTGCATCAATCCTGATACAGGGTACTTATTATATGTTATAGTTTGGATTCCTAAAGCTTTTTGTCTACTATCCCATGATTCAAGGGTAGTTTTCACTATAAGTAATGGGTTTATTTTTGGACGGAAACTATAATTTACATGTTTTTACTATGTTCAATCTAAATGTACTTTAAAATAAAAACATCTATATTGATTCTGACTTTTCTACATCCAACTCACACGTGCAACCTTGCTTTGAGAAAAAATATTATTAATTTAACCCTTTTAGAAGGGAAGATATAGTCATTTGTTCTGGGAATGTCATTTTGGAGCCCGAGACCTGAAAAACAGGCTCAGGGCTTAACAGGTTGAGTCCAGAAATAGGTCCAGCGGGTCAAATGTACGTCATAACCTGGAGCAGGTAACTTTGGTCACATCACAGAGATATTTGATATATTCTGGAATCAACTGCTGTCATACCGATGGTGCGGTGGGCACCAGGTCGTTTTCTGTGCGGCCCGTCTGTATGGCTGTGTGAACTCGCACTGACTCGTAGATGGATGGCTCCTCCACGCGCCACGGATACGGACTCTTCAGCACCATCAGGGTTCCTGGTTCAGAGGCAGAGAGTTAAAGCAACCCAACACAAAGGTGTGGCCAATTGAGAATGAGACAAATTGTGTGTTTCCTACAAAGGAAAATATCCTATGATGCGGAGCAAAGATAGACTGACCTCCTGGCAACCACAGGCAAGACATTAGAAATTAAAATTCATCCTGCTGTCTTTGCCTGAGCTCAGTCTCAGATCAGCCTTGGATTAATCTGAGATTAGACTGGGATCAATCTGAATCCAGCCTTAGAAAGCCTAAAAACAGTCTGAGATCAGCCTGAGATGAGCTTGAGATAAGCATTAGATCAGTCTGAGATAAGCCTTAGATCAGTCTGAGATCAGCCTTAGATCAGTCTGAAATCAGCCCAAGATCATTCACAGATGACTCTCGAGCTCAGTTTGAGATCAGCCTTGGATTAGTCTGAGATCAACCTATATTTTTAGTTTTTCCACTATTTAGCTGTATAACTCAAAACTTGTCAAATGTTACCACCCTTCCCACCTTTTTAATACAAACATGTAATGTAAAAAGCAGAGCAATGTGTCGTTTCACTGTATTAGCCGGTAACTTGCAGTTTGTCATAACGTACCTGCGTCACTGCCCAGCAGAGGCTGATTAGCGAAGTGAATGACAAAATGTTGAAGGGTTGGGTACTCGTTGAAGCCAAACGAGTAGCCGTTATCTTTGCGTGTCACGTGGAAATGTTTGACGGAATCCTTTGCCCTGTGTGTCAGATGACAAACAAACAATATTTAGTGATGCACTTTTAAAGTTGTTAACATGCAAAATAAAGATCACGTAGTTAAGCCATCTTAGTATTCTATACGTTTCCTTTCATGGTAATAACTTGTGACGTGCAACAGCAAGTACATGTGATGAAGTAGCTGAAAGACAACGGCCATATTAACACACATTTATTTTGTTACCTGTGGATAATATGATATCCCCCTAGGCAAGACCAGGGATTCAGAACAGATCAGAATAAGTGGTTTTTAAGATAAGATAAGATATACTTTATTGATCCCAAATTGAGACATTTTCGTTGCAGCAGAATGTAAAACAAAGTATTGCACATAATTAGAAATAAAAAAAGTAGAAAATAAACAATTGTACAATATAAAAATCCATGACGGATAACAGTTTGTTTGTGTCCTCCTCTCCACCACAGCATCAAAAGTGTCTATTTTAACGCAGATGACAGAGCCAGCTTTCTTAATGACTTTATTCAGTCCACTGGCGTCACCAGCTCTGATGCTGACCACAAAAAGAAGAGGTGTTAGAGGCGGACTGACCTGACAGACAGGGCGAGGCTGCCTTCCCCTTCATTACTGTTCCTCAGGAGATAACTCCCATCAGTCCCATTGGACAGGAGCAGAGCTTCTGCTGCATGGCGGGACAGGTCATGGTGGTACCACCTTCAACACAATGAAGCAAAAATCAATTAGCACTCAATACTGTGGTTAATTTGGATTTATTAATGTGTCTTGAAATCATTTAAGTTGCCACATTCTTGCAGTAGAAAACACAATGGCGCTGTTTGTGACCCAAACAGTGTATCTACGGCCTCTTGGCTCAAAGGCAATCAATATAATTTAAATTATAAAGCCCATTTACACAAATAAAAAATTAGCCTCATGGGGCTTTACAGACAGTACTGCGGAAATGTAATATTGCATCAAGAATGTAAACGAAATGCACATCCTAATTGGTAATTATAATTGATTGAGGTTATAAAGACCTGTTGGGGTGTAACAATTGAGAAAATAGGGCTAACATCGGCTGGTGCCCATGCATTGGTATATTCCTACCTGTAATATATTCTTAATATTATTTTTCATAGAGAATATGATGTCCAATCGCCCACCCAGCATCAACACCTTGAATGATTTTAACTTGGTAAATGGCTTCTGGATCTCGTTTTTCAATGTGTACACAACATCAGATGTGAACAAAGCCATTAGCAAATACAGCTTTATTTTTTATTTATAATACTTTTGGATCTGTAGGATTGGGATTAGCTCATGCGAGGGACATTTATTCCGATGACTATTAGCAAATCCATATGACAGATTTTATGGGGTGATGGAACTAAAGAGTGGTTTAAATAAAAAGTATGGACTTATTTTCCTGAGAGTGACCAACTAACCACTAGCCATCCTGAAACATGGCAAACAACCATACAATACAATATACTCCGTAACATCTGCCCCTGGGTCTCAGGATCACAGGTGAGGTCGCATCATCTCATTCAATACAGAGTTTTATTGAAGGAGAGAAAGTTGCCCAATGCTTAATGAGCTTTCTAAAGGGTGTACTAGCAGGAAGGAGTGTGAAAACATGCAAAGGGAACAAATAAAGGGAAGTGAAACTTCATTATTTGCATTAAAAGTTGCTGAGTGTAAAAAACAGGAAACCAATCCTAAAGCATTTAACGGTCCACTCATCCCCAGAAATCTCTGGTTTAATCTATTTAATAGCTCATCATTTCATGTTGCTCCCTTAGAGTGGTGTTAAGTACATTTACTCAGTGTAATATAATAATATGTATAACACATATTACAAATTTGACTTGTACTTTAACTAATTACTAACTTAATAATTTATAATATAGCAACAACTTTTACTCCACTAAATGTATCTGATAGCTTTACAACTGTAGTTACCTTACAGATTTAGATTGCTAATACAAAATATAAATACACTTATAAATAAACATTGACATTATTATAGGCAGCATTATAGCAGCAGTATATCAAGTAATTACAATAAGCTCCACCTTTACAAACTGCAATAGGCAATTTAATGCATCAATACTCATATTCCAGTAAATCTATATTTATAATTCCAAAATGGGCCATTCCAACAAGTAACAGGTGATTTTACTAAAGTTTAGTAAAATGTTGAATGCTTGACTTTTACTTGTTAGAGCTAATTTCACTTAAGTGTAACATCTGAGTAATTATTCCACCAATAGACTTTAATGCTGCCTGAGACAGAACACAATTGAACTCAAAAATATATTATTATTAGATAATATATGATATTGTTTTCTCTTATAAATTATATTTGTAGGTTAGGCCAGGGGTTCCCAAACTTTGCCATGCCAAGGACCCCCATATAGCATTATCCTCTGGCGGGGACCCCCCTGTTGGCATTTTTTAAAATTACATTATGATGGAAAATATGACAAATGAATCATACAGCTTAATACATGTTCTTAATATATATTTGTATTAATAAGTTATTTTTCAAAAAAAAAAGTGTATTTATCTTTTGTTTGTCATTCATTACATTCATTGTGTCTTATGTTATAAACATTCTTAACACAATATTAAACAGTAATATCAACATTAAAGATATTTTAAAAGTGATTTCTGTCTTTATAATATAATATAATTTTGAACAGTAGGCTACATGTATTTTTTGCATTTTTGAAAGCTATTTATGCCTTTTTAATATTATATATAATATTCAACAGTAATATTAACACCCACACAACGAGACCAGTGAAGTCCATTTGAGATGAAACTTGGAAAATGTCTCTTCATGTTATTTCCTCAACAAAGTTGTCTTCTGAAATAAATCTGATGTAAGCAATTCTGCGACATTTGCAACATCCGTGAATGCCATTTAAGCCTAACCGTTAGGCTACCTTAGAAGTCCATAAAAAAGCAAACAGCAAGCAATCTCAAGAGGCTAATAATTAAGCTAATTATGCAAATCCTAATCAGTAAATTAGTCGCGAGCGCTGAAAACAATGGAGAAGTGGCGGTAATGTATGACTAATTATCAATTATATAATGCCGATTCAACTAACTAAGACAGGCTACTGTTTTTGAATATTGTTAACATATTATCGAAACATTCTTTCTGTTTGTGAAGGGCTAAGACTAGTTTAAACGGAGCACTGTACAGTATTTCAATCGGCACTCGAGACCCGTTTCCTTCTAGAAGCGTCTCGTTCATCTACCGTCGGTAAAGTAACCTTTTACAGAGAATTACATTAAAGTCAAAAAGCAGGCTTACCCTAAAGTCTCTAACTCGTCGGTAGAGGAGTCGTCGCTGTAGAAACTCATCTCTCTCTGAGGTCTCTGTGTGTGTGTGTGTGTGTGTGTGTGTGTGTGTGTGTGTGTGTGTGTGTGTGTGTGTGTGTGTGTGTGTGTGTGTGTGTGTGTGTGTGTGTGTGTGTGTGTGTGTGTGTGTGTGTGTTGTGTCGGTCACGAACGAGCCGGTTCTTATGGACGGCTCTTTGGTACGAACGAGGGGAACCGAGTCGTACTTGGTGAGAGCCGTTCTTTTTATCGTTCAATCGTTGGTCCGCGCACCATAGGTCCGCACTCACTGCCTGCCAAAATTCACTCGCCTTTTAAAAAGCTTGATTTTGTTCCCCAAACGTATTCTGTGAAGACCCCCCCTACTCTGATTGGTAGGTTTCAGCACGAGGAGTAAGGTGAGGTGGGGTGGGGTCTTAAGGGAGGGAATGCGCGAGAGAGAAGTCATAACAAGGTAGACAAAGTGTTCTTCGGATGGAAAATGAGCCAAACGCGAAAACGCAGCAGCATTTGGATGCACTTCAACCAAAACCCAGGCAGTGATAAAGCGCACCATTTGTAAAGGCAGAATATCCTTTAAAGCAGGGTCAACAAATAATCTCCATCGCCACTTAAATACACAGTAGCCTATCTAATATTAAGAGTTGCGTGAATTTCATTCAAGGCAAGGCAACTTTATTTACTTAACACATAGGCCTACAGAGGGTACATTCAAAGTAGTACATTCACTGACATGAATGACATGGATATGGCGCCACCTTGTGTCATGTTTACAATGCAGATTATTGACATTAGGTCTGGCAATACAGTCAATCATTATCCTGGTGATTATTTTGCAGATAAACCTGTAACCCCGCCCCCTCTAAAAAAAACGGCATTTTGAACGGCTCTTTGAAAGGAACGGAGCCATAAAATCCGGCTCCCTTCAAAAAGCCATAATTCCCATCACTAGAGAGGCTTCTCAATTCTTAAATGTCCCCTCCTCGACTCCCCTCCTCGACTCCTATCCTCGAGACTTAGTCCCGCCCACAGGAGATGCGAGGTGAGGAGCCGAGGAGAGAGGTGGGGAAGCAGCAGGCGGTTAGAGAAATGAGAACTCCTCTCCTCTGAGCGGTCATTTTAAAGAGACGTCCATTAATGATGACAGGAGGCACAGCAGCACTCTGTCTGATGGACAGATGTGTTCATGACCACTTATATATTTACTTTGAATTCATTCACAGTGCGGTATAATGAGGCTACAGATGCGGACACACACACACAAATATATTTATATAAATATATACAATTTAAAGTATGAGAGCACTCTCATAATAACGTAACACAATCAGAGACTGGATATATAAGGAAGTCTGAAGGATATATCCCCCCCCCAAAAGTTGTATTTACAAGTAGCCTATTAAAAGTAAGCATAGGACACCAAACCAACTGAGGGCCGTCTGTCCGCCGCATCTACGCACTGTACAACACACACACCTACACACTGTACCACACACACACCTGCACACTGTATCACATACACACTGTACCACACACACCTACAGCTCCTAAAGCATAATCAGGCTACAGCCGTTGTGTATTGTATTATGTGAAGCACTAAATGGTCTTAGAAAAATATCGACTATTTGTTTGTATATCTACTAAACTAAAACAAATAAAGAGAGTAGGCCTGTTATACTGAGTGATATATATTATACACACTGCTCTGCTTTCTGCACGGACCTCACAGCTGTTCTCTCTGGAAACATCGCGTCGCGATGAAAGCAGTTTCTAAAATAATATCCAGGAGATTTAGTCCAGCCGTGCGTCACGCCTCCACCGTTCCCGGAAATGCATCCGCGGAGGAGCCGTGGAGGACCCATCAGTGTATCCTCAGTTACGGCCCGTCCACACAGCGGCGTGCGTTGAAGCTTCCAACGCTTCTGCCCATTCACTTTGAATGGGGTGACGTCACTTTTAGCCGAACTGCATTTTGGGAAGCGACGTGGAGCGTTGCTGGCGTAGCTGGCGTCAAAAGTTGAGCAATGTTCAACTTTTGACGCCTCGACGGAGGCGTCAGCCAATGAAATCCCGTTTATTCAAATCTGCCAGTACAAGCGCTAGCCAATCAAACCGCGTGTATGCTGGGAGAGACTACGCAGGTCATTTCCTCATATTCCAAAAAATTGAGGGAAAGTTCATTGTAGCGGTAGTGAATCACCCGGTGCTGTATGATCAGTCTCTGTTGATCTACCGGGATACAAACCGGAGGAGCGAGGCATGGAGGGAGGAGGCAGAGACAGTGGGTGAAACTGGTAGGTTTTCGCCTGTTTGGGGATTTTATATCCAGTTTACTTCGTTTTAACATTGCTATTGCTTTGTATGTCGGGGGCGGGAGATTCATGTGATTGGTTGTTGGTCGTGTTGCTCGCAAAAAATCCCCAAGCTTCAGATACGCCCACCTCCAAGCGTCAACGCACGCTGCTGTGTGGACGCTCCGTTATAGCTCCTCCAGAGAGCCTCCTCGACGCTCGATCCTCGGCAAGCCCCCAGGAAGTGCGCCGGAGTCTGATGAGAATATTCGTTGTGGCCAAACGGCAGTACTACACTTCCTTTAGGTTGCTGGGCCCGGAAACACTTTTTCCCATTGACTTACATGGGGAAAGAATGGTCTGTAACTCGTTGGATAATTTTTTTTAAACTAAATAAACAACCCAGTATGAACACTTGTATAGCCCTTATTAAAAACATTCGTTCCTCAAGTTGTAAAAATGTGCTAATAACGTTATTCTGAGAGTTATTTCCCTCTACATTATGAACGTGCATCTAACCCACGGGACCGCGCCACCCGGCACGTTCATGTTACGTGTTCAGTACTACATGCGTTTATCTTTACCCATGGATGCACAATAACAACGGACCATATTGCCTTACTGCCATCCCACGGAGCTGTAATAATGGATATATTGCACATGTTTGCTGTAATTCATCATTTGTAAAATATTATACTACATGGGCTGTATGATGTAAATGTTGTACCATAAATGTTGTATTAAATAAAGTTAATATTACCGACGTTAGATTAACGTCCCTGTAGCTTATTATTGCACTAAGAAGCTTATTGCACTGTATATATATATATATATATATATATATATATATACAGTGCAATAATTATTTCATGCTAAATGAAGCTCTGTTGGATATTACTAGATCCTGTTACAGCGTAATATAAGTACATAACGATAGATGTTACATTAGCATAATTACTAGCTAGCTGCTAACTGCCACCTCGTTAATATCAAACCCATAACAATCCATGCTGTCATGAATGCACGGTGCTGTTACGTGTACGCAAATTGACATGCTTGATGTGAACGAGCATTTTGGTTAAAGTTGCGCATGCGCTATGAGTGTACATACGGGTACTTCTCAGGCATGCCGGGTAATCTGTGACGTTTCACTCTCTCAAAAGTTGGGCCATTTTATCATCATGCGCTAATGAGCAACTCTCATAGGAATGAATGAGGCCCTGTCTCCCACGCTGTATCCAGTTCTTATTATACATCCATGATCCTCGGTCATCATTTAGAGAAATGAGATGTCCTTCAAAATGGCGCGCTGAAATTCATTTCCGGGTCACTACCGGAGGACCGAGGAGTTGAGGAGGGGAAATTTGAGAATTGAGAAGCCTCATATACCTCATTCACACCAACGGTGTTTCAGGGCCGGTTCGGAGCTGGAGCTTGAAAAGCACCAGGTTTTCCTCTTCACACCGCAGCGGAGCAGCCTCTTAGCTCCGGAATCCGGTTCGTTTCAAGCACCAAAAAATTGTCCGGCCAGAGCAAAAGCACCGCATACGTCACGCTTACGTCGAGGCGGGGGCAGGGGCAGAGACAGATCAACTCCTGAACAACAACAAAAAGCCCGCGTTTTATCCAGTTTGTACACAACGATGGAGAAACTTAACAAGAGTTTCAGTGTGTCTGCCATAGACTGTATATATTATATAAAGGTTTCTGCTCATGGTGAAGCAACGTGTCTGCATGTTAAGGTGGAACCTGAGCATTCACGTTGATCACCTCTCATTATAACTCTATAAAACTATAGATATTAAACTTTACTTCACATGTTCATTTGAGAACAGCTGTTACATACCTGGGTGAAGGTTACAGTTCATTTAAATGAAAGATACAATGTTACTCCACACTCATGGTTCAGTCCACCTTAAGAAATAAGACCGACCTCGTTGTGTTTTTAAAAAAAACCTTTATTGACACGAGTACACTTTTTTTATAAGAATATAACTAAACCACAGAAATGACTCCGGAAAAGCTGCAGATAGAGACATAAGAAATGAATGCAACTGATTTCATCCGCGCGGTTTGGCTTTATGTAGCAGGCACGCAAACGGTTACGTCATGACGCAAACTATGACACAACGACGCATTACCAGTCGGACTCTGGGCGGTGTGAAAAGAGCCAGAGCTAAACCGAAGAACTGGTTCTGAACCTGAAAAGCTCTAGCACGGAGCTTGAACTGGAGTTGCGTTGGTGTGAATGAGGTATTAGGTGTGTGGCTGCAGTCAAATAGTCCATTTAGCTTAGGAACCTTCCTAATGGAGTAAAATGACCAGGAAGTCCCTCAGTGGCAGCCATGATAAGTGCCGTTCGAATTCTCTAGATGAAAGGAAAGGAGGTTTCAAACTACCTATATAACCAGGGCTGCACATAACTGGTGCGCAGGTGCGCATGCGCACCTCCGCCAAAAAAAGAGCACCGGGTCATTTGAAACAAAGCGCATTTGCGTACCAACATTGAGAGAGGGAGAGAGAGAAGGGAAAAGAGAAAATAGAGAAGAGAGAGAGAGAGAAAGATATTTGCGAGTTGCATGAACCATGATATGAACTCAGGGCCGGCCCGTAGCACTGGCTAGATGTTCGCCTAGGGCGCCAGATCTGTGGAGGCGCTGCGCTGGTAGCTCTGGGAGGGAAAAAAACATTTTGACCATTGGGGTTCATCCTAATTTTCGGCCTTGATGTAACAATATTCATAATTAAGTAAATGTAACACCCTTTTCACCCCGGTTACACGTTTCATTTGCCCTGTACGATGGGCGCTGTAAGTGATGAAAATGGGGGATGTTGGCTTATCTGGCGGCCCGCAGCTCACACCCAAAATGCGAGGGAGAGAGGGAGAGAGGGAGGGTGCACCGGTTCCGGCGCAGTTGTTATTAGAATCTGGTGCTAGCTGCTCTAACGGATATAAGAAGAAGATGTTTCTACAATAATGTGGAGGGAGAGTCCTCTCCAGTCAGACTGAGAGGCTGATAACTACAGCTCAGTGA